TCGCTCGCTCGCTCGCTCGCTCGCCGAAGATTCGAGCGTATTCGGTAGTTTCTTCGGCTCCGGTTTGGGGTTTCGTCTCGTGATCGTATCGCCGGCCGGTGCGAGTATCGCGCGTTTTTGTATAGTAGAAAGAGAAAGAAAGCGAAGGAGTGTGTGTGTATGTGTGTGCGCGCGTGAGAGAGAGAGAGAGGGAAACACAGTGGGAACATACTGACAGATGAAGTGAAAGAAAGTAGGAGACGAAAAAAAAAAAAAAAAATAAGAGAAGGGTTCGAAGGAGTGTCGAGAGAAAAGTAAAGTGGTAAAAGCAAAACAAAATTGTTGACAGTGACAAAAAGTGACTGGTACACCGCGATTTTTATTCCAAGATATCGTCGTTCTCAAGAATTAGCTCGAATAATTTGGGCAGATACTGCGGCAGTGAAAGAGAGAGAAAGAGAGAGAGAGAGAAAGAGAGGTAGAGAGGGAAAGTGGTCTTGTGATTCGTTTGCGCGTTTGGTGTGGTGTACGCGAGGGTCTCGGTGCCATGTCGGGGTAGGATTCCGCGAAAGTCGAACGTCAGGAGGAAAAAGTAGGACGTATTTGGTCTTCTTAAATGTAATTCCGGAGCGCGCGATCGTCGTCGCAGACACGCCTCGATTTATAGTGGTAAACTCGGACGCGTGCCGTCTATATCCTCGGCAACGTCGAATTCTTGAAAATTCCGAAAAGCAGCGTCCGATATCGAGAAGCTCGCCGAAAAGCGTAAACAAGCTCGAACTCCGTGCCATTTTACTTTTTTCGCTACATACATGCGCGTGTGTTGTGTCCCTGTGTACATGTGTGCGAGCATATCCTGAGCGACGCTTATTATTGGTCGATATCGCTCTCGCGATCGCCAATAGTTTTGACCGAATTAGAAAAAGTGCGCGAGTGCCGATATTAGCGGCTAACATCCGACCGGTTTCTTCAGTTTCTCAACTGCCGCGGCATAAGTCGGAGGTGGATCTCTGTCGCGTGTCTGCTCGCTTCGGGAGTGAGAATTATCGGCGTGGTTGATCGCACGAAAGGCTAAAGTTGTTGGCGTGCGTGTCTCCTCCGAAGAACTCATCGCGGAACATCGGAATTATTGATGAACGAAACGTGAAAGAGAGAGAGAGAGTGAACGAAAGGCGATAAGCACACGTTGGAGTCGCGTCGAAGAAAGTGCACATAGTCGCGGATCGTCCGCGAGTGTTGTCGGCCATCTCGCGTGTGCGTTCATCGCGTCCAGTGTTTCTTCCCGCGTTGTGACAGAAGAGAAGACGAACGACAGGTCTCGTCAGTGCTCCAGTTATCAGCGGAGGATGGTGTAAAAACATCAGTGTTCGCCATTGCGATTATCATTCTCGCTATTGCGTCGCGAAAAGTCGGGCTGCCGAAGATTTCGAATCTTGCGACCTTCGTCGACGCTTGTCGATCGTTTACTCCTCGCGAACGTGAACGACGCGATCGTGATAATCGTAAGCCGCGGCTATCTTGTTGCCGCAATCCGATCCTCTCGCGCGAGCCTACATTCGAACCGGGAGTAAACGGTGCACCTGTACCTTGCTTGCGAGCGAGACGTGCTTCGCGCGCGAGAGCACTGACGCATTATTATCTGTGAGCACCGGCGATTATCGGTGCATCGCGCTTCTCCGATCTTGGCGCGCGCGATCGCCCACGCCCGATCCTTCCTCCGAT